TTTTGATCAGATGGGGCTTTGAGGCCTTCTCTTCCCAAGTTCCAGTGCCTGAGCTTTATATGTGACACCAGCACGAGTCCCCAGGCTCTGGGATCTGCACATGGAATGCATTTCCTTGCCTCCATCTCCATCCCCGGAGGGGATGCAGCCCCAGGGGTGATGCCCTTCCCGAGAAGAGGGGCAGGGTGGCACAGTTACCCCACACTGGACACGGACAGGCCATGCTGTCCCTCAGTCTCCCAGGGACAGCTTCCCTCCTGAGCAAGCCTGGAAACTCACACTTTGCTTTTGCAAGACCCCTCACCCATGAGTTTCTCCCTGCAGTGCTGGAAAACCTCTGGAGTGAGGAAGCCCAAGAATGGCTGGTGGGAATTCATGGAAGAGGTGCCAGCACTGTGCAGCAGAGCAGGGAGGTCCAAGCTACCTCTGAAGAACAGGGGTACAGCAGGAACTTTCTGCCACAGGATGGAGCTCAGTGCAGGCTGCAAAGCATTTCTGGGAAGCTCCACAAATACTCAAAGCATCTGAGTCTCATTGCAGAGCCTGCACCACCAATTGTGCCTCCAGGCTGAAAAAAACCCCATGTAGGTGAGGGTCTTGATCATGTCTGAAAAAGTACAACACCCAAGAGAGTGGGGGGGGGGAAAGTAAAAGCTTTTGTAAAAAAGTGAGCATGTGAACTCTGTGGCTTCGATTTTGTCCCACTTACTCTGTTCACCAGCTCTACAAAGTGTTTCTCACACAGAAGTGTATTTTTAACAACACTGAAAAGAATGTGCCAGAATTGGAAGCTCAAGCTACTTTTACCTTGGGTACACGGGATGAAAATACCATGTAAGAGGTTAAATGGCAAATGGCAAAGGAAGATTTTTAAAATTTATTTTATTTTTAAACCAAGAATGGCCAAATTAGTATTAATGAGGCTGATCCTTCTGACTGTGAAATCTCACTGAATAAAAATATTTAACAAATCCTCAGTGTTCTCTTCTACCTGGGCATCATGCACAACCAGAAACTGCTTTACCAAAGGAGTTAAAAGTTTTCTGCAATAATGCAGCAAATCACTCTATGCAACAAGCACAGACACATTCTGTGGCAGTTTCCCCACAAGGTTCAATCTATGGGGTAAAAAAGTCTTGATTTATTATATAGCATTTGGACAGTTGCAAATGAAAATTTGCCAAAGATCAGAATAATCAACTCTTTCACCCAGGCAGTTTTTTTATGCAAGAAAAAAGCACAGAATGGGTCTGAGCAAAATAAATAAAAATTCCACACTTTTAACCAAGAGAACCTTCTGCGTCATTCAGAAATATTTACAGACACCCAGAAACTTTTATCATCAAAAAGATTCTCTGGCCTTTCCAATTACAACTTTACATTTACAATTACAATTTTACATTTTTGTTTACTGATGGCCTTTAAACCAGTGGATATCTCTAACTCGTGGCATCTCTTTGCATCGAGTCAAATGCAGGAACTTTTAAAGCTGTTCCTTGCTGATTTTTTCTCTTCCCTTGAAAAATCTCTCTTTTGCTAAGCTGTCATCTGTGAGTTTTAAAGATAGCAGAACCCCATCTACAGCAGCATCCATCACATGAGTCATGGTAACTATACCTCAAACATCAGTTTTTTATTGATTGACTGGGCCTCTGGTGCCAATATGGAAATCTTCCAACCTGGAAAAGGCTGGCTGCTTTAATACAATTAAATACAGCCAGGAAGAGGGCTGCAAATGGAAACATGCATTAGCCATTCATAGTACACAAGCCTCTCTCAGAGCCCAGTAAAGTGCAGCATCCCTGCTTCCCTTGCTTATTTAATTAGCACACAATGAAGGCCACTGAATTTCCCTGCAAAAGGTGTTGCGTACTTTGGACAAAAAAGAAAGGAGAAAAGAAGTTGCTTTTAAGTCCAGTCCAAAAAAATAGCTCCTTGGCTAAATGGCACTTTTAATAAAGATGTTTCCAGTGTTTGTTTATTTATCAAAAAGCAGTGTTTCTCTCGGGTGTTTTGATTTTTATTTCTGTGCACAAGAAGGAGGGGAAAAAAAGGGCTCTACTAAGCAAGTCTTTCAGTGAGACACCAGATGATGGATAGTCAAACACAGAGTCTCCTGTAAACACAGAGGTAACCAAAAGGTATGAACTGACTCATAATTGTGTCAACACAGGTCGCAGACCCTTGGTTTATTTCAGCCTTCCTGTTTTTCACAGATTTCTTTTCACACTACACTATTTTTTTAAAAACACAGACTCTTTTCAGTACATCTTAGCGGGGTGCAAAAGCACACACGTTTTTACACCAAAATGTGGGCATCTACACACACATGTAGGCTGTACTGCCACAATTTCAACAGCAGCATTTTCCATCTATTGCTTATGGCTGCATTAAACTGAGCCGTGCAGTCCATGACTGCTCTAAATCAAAAAGTCCATCCCATTCCTGCCTCCAGCCTTTCCCCAGAGGCTCTTGGGAAGCATCCAGAAGAGAGGAATACAACAAAACCTCAACAGCCTAGTGCTCCAGTTCATCCAACCCTCTAAGACGCGCTGTGATATTTTTTTTAACATAAGTGGCCAGACTCTGTCTGACAGAAAATGCTGGGAGGAGGACAGGCAGCAAAGAGGTCTGTGACGAGCAGAACCTGCTTGTATTTGTCCTGATCTCTAAACAAATTGGATTAGGCTGCAGCCTTTTCCTTGTATAAAGTTTAGAGCCATGGTTTGGGTTGGAAGGTTGGAAAGATCATCTAGTTCCATCCCCCCAAAAGCCTCATCCAACCTGGCCTTGGAGGAAAAAGCCTTTCTGGGCTCTCTATTTCATTATTAGCACTGACTAGAAGGTTAAGAAATGGTTAGGGTAGGGGCTGATGTGCAGACACCCCAAGACATTGAATCCCTGCAAGTCCCAGAGCAGCTGAAAGGCCAGCAAGGACCTTTCAGTACATTCCCTGTACCTGGGGGACACCAGTCTGAAATCCAGAGATCTTTTTAAAGAACTTGAAGAAAATTACAGATGAAGTAAGGTTAAAGCCAGGGAAATTGTTCTTCCTCAGCAGAGGCAGGAAAAGAAGCCATTTAAGGCCAGATTGCAGTGACAAGTGCTTGTTCCTGGGTGTCCAGGGAACACTGAGCCCAGTGCAAGGGATCTGCAGTGGATTCACCCTGAGCACACACATGAAAATAACTTAATGTTATAGACCCACCCACCCAAGGTGTGTCCTGTATGAGCAAAGAGAAGTTTGGACAACTGTTTGTCTGGGATGTTTCAACTTCAGAGATTTACTGAAAATGACAGAGCCAGCAAGGACAGAGAATATTATTCAGGCTGAGCAGTGCCTTATTCCTTGTGTAATCACATCCAGCTCAATTCAACAAAAATCAGAGTTACAGAACCAGGATTTGGACCTTATTTCCCTCTGTGGAAAAAGGCAGTTGCTAAAATTCCCAATTATCAGGTATTCACTGCAGTGACTGAAACCAAATCCACACAGAGATCCCACAACAACTCTTGCATGGTTACATCACCAAATCATTCACCAAAAAAATGCAAAACAAATTACATTAGGGTGAAGCTGACATACACACACACAAAAGCCAGAAATAGCATTTCAGAAACAGAAATAATTGGCAGACTTAATTTTTTAAAGAATACTCATTTTAGGATAGTTTACCTTTGTAAAGAGAGAACATTTTATCCGAAGCCATTTTCCCCTTTGGAAACCAAGGCTGACAGAACAATGGAGAGAATTCCCTTTACAAATTACAATATATTGTCAGATTTGCTTCCAGCAGGTTCTGTACCTTCAGAAATTGGTCAGGCTTTCTATGTTTGTCAACTGGGGAAAACCTACACTCTATTCTCCTGCCTTCCCTCTTTTCTTTACCTTCTTTTAGCTCTACAACAGAAGGTGAAGGAAGAAAATTTTACTGAAGGAGACCATGAAACGAGTTTTCCAAACATTCCACATATTTTCTCTGCATAAACATACTGTGGATTTCTAATGTAAATAGTGCCAGGGCACTGTCACTCAGACCCCAGGAGTTCACCCAACTTAGACAAATTATGCTGCCCGTTATCTCAGTTGTTACAGATTCTTGCCTTTCATTCATTCCTTGCCAGTGGTTTGATTTTATGTATAGGGGAAAAAAGAAGCCTCAAATGCTGAAGTTAACCTCTTGTGGTAAGACCAGTAATCCTGGGCTTTCCAGGGGAGAAGGCAGAAGGAGATAGCTACTAGCCTTGTCTGCCAAGGCAGCAGTCAAAAGAATGCTGAAATTTGGCATGTATGTGCAGGAGAAATGCAGTGCTCTGAAAATGGACACTGCAAGCTCCCTGCCAAATCTGCAGCATTTGGCCTACATGAATAAAACAAATTAAGTTTAAGAAATATTCTTTTACATGTCCTGTAAAAAACCTCCATAAAGCTGTGTTGTGGCTGTGAATAGGGGATGGTGCTGCTGAGCAAACCTGCCTGGCAGAAGCAGTGTCTGCTGCTTCAAACATCATATCCACACCAGAATTAATACTAACCTTCAACTACAGTTATAAGCCTCATTTCCTTCCAGATAAGGAGATAATTATTAGAAGGGAATGCAGGATGTGATGAGGGGATTCCTTTCTGAAAGTGTTTTTACAGCCACACTGGTAGGGACAGAGTGAAAGCCCCTGTCCCACATGTCAGCTATTGTCCAGCTGTGAAATCCCTTTGGGTCCTGGAAGCTGTGTATGGTAAACAAAGGGCCTGGATGCTGCCAGCCCCATGCCCTGCTCTGCAAGTGCATCATTCCAGCCTCTCCTACCTGGTCCACAGCCCCTTTTAGGAACAGAAAACTCTGAATTTGCCATGGCAGCACCATGGGAGGAAAATGTGCATTGAATGCCCACCTGGAAACTGATTCCCTGTAATGATGAGTACCTTTAATGCCATTCTAATGAGCCAATTCTGATAGAAATTTTATTTATGCAGCACTTCCAAAGAAGGGAAAAGCTCTTACCTATTGTTCTTCGGAGATCTTCACACTGGCTAATGTGAGGGAATTTCAGGATTTCCTTCCACTTTTTGCTTTTGCCTTTTCGTTTCCCTCCACCCCCTGCAGAGAGAGAAATATCAGGATTAGATTGCTTTGGGGGCATAGTTCCACCTGGAGTTTACCTGCCCAGACACACTTCTTATGGGTGCCATTAATAATTAAAGCTGAGACGCTGTGGGTTGATGCACAAGCAGATCCCTGGATGTGTTCCAGAAAAGGCTCAATGGGGCTCTGAGCAATCTGGTCTAGCAAAAGATATCCCTGCCCATAGCAGGGGGGTGCAACTAGATGTCCTTTAAGGTCCCTTCTAAGCCAAACCATTCTATGATTCTATGATACAGATCAAATCTCAACCTGTTTGTACTTGAACAGACCAAGGAGGTGGCACCTGGCAGAAGGCCAGCTCCCTAAAAGTTGGGAGTCCAGGCTTGTAGCCCACCAGGTCCAGTTGAGATGACAATGCTACCTCCAGCATCACCTCTTCCCCAACCAAGAGCCACTTCACATAAAGTCAAACAATCTTGCAAAATTACAGTTCACCCCTTTTCAACACAGATATCTCCCTTCTGGTTTTGGGACAAACCCTGATCCTATCCCAAAAAGTGCTGAAAACTGAAGATCAAAATTCAATTCCTGCCATCCCCTCCCACCCTCACATCACATATCCTGCCAACATGTCACCACTGCTGCTGTTACACACTCTGGTCACTGCTGCTTCCACAGGAGAGCTGTAGGAGAAAATTAATAGCTCCATGAGGAAAAAATCACTTACAGGTTCTTCTTTCTGTTCTGCTTGGAGAGGCTGTGCACCAATGGATGAGGAGTCTCTCTCTGGACATGAAAGCCCAGATACAGACTGGGATTCTCCAAGTCACTGTATTTACTGCAATTCAGTCCCTGCACACAAAATCTGATTCACTTGAGTCTATTCTACATGCACTGGCATGCTGGATGACTAATTCAGAGCTGAGTTAATTCTGTAGAGGGGTTGGTAGAGTCACAATTGCAGATTGAGAGTGTGTTGGGTCCTGCATGACATTGAAGGCTAAATTAGGAGAGTGCTGACTCAAAAGATAGCAGACCACCAGAGAGAAAACAGGAGCCTCAGAAAAAAATTACAAGAATTGCTCTCTGTGGGGCATTTCTGATCACACAATGCCACCTTTGGCACAGGAGAGCTTCTTCTGCATCTCACCTTTTATTCCTTTGCTTTTGATGGCAAATGGTTCATAGAGTCTGCCTGAATTATTTTAAACTCCTTATTGACAGGAACTGATTGCACTTCTAAGTATGCAATGTAGAGCTATCTGCAAGCTATCAGCTTGTCTGGGCTTTCAGGAGCACAGCCCTGCTATCCTTTCCAGGAATTAGACTGCAGCAAAGCACAGAGCTGTGACTTCCTCCCCACCACACAGTATTATGCAACACAGACGTACCCCTTGGGTCTGTAATGAATTCTGCTTCAACTCCCCCTTCAGTGCATCCCAACCACTGCTGCTGAAGTCATTTCCTTTCCCATCCCTCTTCCCACAGCATCAGAGAGCTTTTCTTGCTCTCTTGGTCTTGCATGCTGAGGGCTTTAGGTGAACTACAAAGTGCTGCTAAGCATTTTGTGGGCTGGGGTGAGCACTGTGATCATCTGTTCACCGACTTCTGGAGCACATCTGCTCACGGATGGCTCTGCTTTGGCTGCCAGTGGCCACAGGGGTTGGATTTAGCAACCCTAAGGGTCTTCATTGGTTTTCATGTCCCAAAAGCCCACTCCTGCAATCCTGCACAGCAGCTCCTGCATGCCAGCTGCCACCTCCCCTTGCTCTTCTTTTCCTTCTCTTCCAGGGGCATTTTTCTTTGTGCTCCTGCTCTTGTGCCTCATCACACTGTACTCACACCTCTCCCCCTGCACCCTCCCTTCACATAGTCCTCTGGGAAAATGATCCTTCCACCAGGAACTGCTTCCTTCTTCTTCCAGTCTTTCTCCATGGCTGCATTTCCTTCTCTGAACCATTCTTCCCTGAACTTTTCTTCTCTTTGTGTTTTTCCTCACACTCATTTATCTTAGAATCCTACAATATACTGAGTTGGAAAGGACCCATTAACATCATCCAGTCCAATTCCTGGCCCTGCACAGGACACCCCAAGAAACCCAGCTGTGTCTGAGAGTGCTCTCCAGATGTTTTTTGAACTCAAACAGGTTTGGTGCTGTGAGCCCTTCCCTGGGGAGCCAGTTCCAGTGCTCAGCCACCCTCTGGGTGAAAAACCTTTTCCTCACACCCTCATTTCCGGCTGCTGCCACTGCAGCACCTCTGCCTTTAGCAAGAGTCAGACAGAGATGCTGCTTGGGGCAAGCAGGAGCTCTCTGCTCAAGGGATGCCTGGGTAGCAATGCCTGCTCCAACAGTATTTCCAAACACTTCTGGACACAGGAGGCAGTGGGGGTCAGCCAGAGGAGACCATCCTTTAGGCTGAATCTGCTCAACACTGGTACATCTTCACCCTCTGAGGGTCTACCCTGTAGGCACAAGCACTAGAGATTCTAGAGAAGACCTGCTTCTCCAGCCACCTTTACAGAAGTCCTCCCAAAAAGGCTTTAGCAGCATCAAGCAACACAGAACATTGCAAAACAGCCCTTTGCTCTAAATGACAGCCCTGAGATTTGTGCAGAGGTGATATGGTTCTGCTAAGCTGGGCCAGAACATCTTTAAAATCCATTCAATGTAAAATATGTATCGATGTATTTACATTGGATGATGTATTTCTGACATTAAATTTCCATCAAAACTAGAGAAGGGTTCTGCGGTCCCCCCGTTAAAACCGTGATCGATACAGCCAGCGTGTTCTCCTCTCTTTTGTGGCTATCCTCCAAAAATAAGCAGCCTTGCCTGATGAATCATTTGCTCTTAGCTGAGCGTGAAGTAGCGTTACTGCTTTGCTTGTGACGTCTTTATGTTAAAGATTCTGATCAAGTGCTTTAATCGACCTGACCTTTCCGCTCCCAGCTTTTCTTGTGGAGCCAGCAGTGTTTGCTGGCTCCAAACATTAATTCTGGGGGGGTTTTGAAGGACATAATGCAGTGAGACAGCTGAGACACAGTAAATTGTCTAGCAGAGCTAAAAGCTAAGAGGGGAGGTTTCTCTGAATAGGTCACGGTGCAGGTTGCAGAGGGAAGCTTTTCACACGTTGCCTTGATTGCTGCCTTTGCACTGTCTATTCCATACAGGAGGATTTGCATTCTTCAAGGCAGCTTCTCAGGGCAGGACTTGACACATGTGCCATGTTTTAAATGTAAATGTTTTAAATGTAAGTTCCATCACGCTGTGGTGGAGGTTCTGACTGCTTTAAAATTTTGCTTTGCTGCTGACGACAAAAGGTGAGCTGCCAGCAAGAAAGCAGGAAAGCTCAGCCCGGATTCCTTGGCTGCACTCAGCATTTGCAAAGTGAGGGCTGAAGCTAATTCTCTAACATGTCAACCAGTCCTGCAGGAAACAAAAGCATTTGCTCTACATCTTACCTACTGAAAAATACATGGCATTTTTCACATCATCTTGTGATGCTGCATGGCAAATCTAGCTCTGATCTCTGCCTGTGAGGAGAGAGACATAACCAGAGGCACACGTGTTAAACACTTGCCAGCAGGAGCTACCCTTAGCCTAAAGTGCCTACCATTCTTTCCCCTCCATTATTCAGTATATTCTTACTCTCCTAACACCAAGAGGAGACAGGAAAACACCTGCATATTATTAAGCCAGTGAGATATTAAGTGGCTTGCCCAAAATGAAATGAGAAATCAGAGACAGAGGACGGAGCTGAAGCTGAAGAAGCCAATGCTTTGAGCCTGTTAATTCTGCTAAAGACAGCATCAAGCCATGCTCCTGCTCAGATGATTGAAGATTATTCACAACACAGAGTAAAACATATTGTTGGATGAATTTATTCCAGCACCATGCCCATAGCATATTCCATTTGTGTCTCATGCCACCAGGCAGGGTAGATTTTAAGGATGGATATCTGGCTTCCTACTGCTGCTCTGCTCTTGCCCAAGTTGATAAAACAGCAGCACATCACACACTGCCAACCTGGCTAATCCAAGACAGCCAAATATTTCATCCAACTGTATTAACTCGAGTTAATCCAGACCACTGGAGGATGGATACAGCTTCTATCTTCCACTTCACAACAGTTCCTGGGTTGTCACCCAAGACCTTCACAATAACAGTAGAGAGCTCTGTAGCCTCAGAATGCAAGGCCTTGATTACAGTAGTGAAGCAAACCCCAAAAATATTAAAAGTTTAAGAAAGCATGGTTAGTGTCCTATTTCCACTCACAAGGTTTTTACATTTCTTCTCTTCTTCCTCTGCCACCCTTTCTCTGCTCTGTCCCATGGAGATGTTTGAAGCTATGTGTCATATATGGAATTACCATATTAGATCAAGGTCTGGCCAGTACAGGATGGACTGCAGGCAGCTTCAGAGGAAGATCTTGGAAAGCTGTTTCTGAAGTATACAAAAACCACTAAATTTGATCCATATTCTGTTAATTAGACATGGCTAACAAAGCAGGAAGGTGTATGGCTTCCAGACAATTTCTTCTCCTTATTTTAGTATCTGTGCTACTTAGAATCAGGCTGTTCTTATGATCTGGTAAACGCCCTGCACTGTTGAATGCCCTCATGTCTCATGTGGGTGTGAATACCAAAGATTAACTATGTATTTGTGAAAGAAAAGAATACTAAGTTTAATCTTGTTTTCCTAGAGCTCCTCGTCCTAATGCGACAGCATGAATAAAACTTACCAGCCCATCATTTTCCCCCAGGAATTTTTCATGTCTAATGCATCCATCCTCTAAGGCAAACAGTTTCACCCTTATTAGACCTGTTTGATGTGAAAGTTCTTCCAGGTTCACTATTCTTCTTTCATATTAGCTCCACCTACGCTCAGCTGTACTGGCAAATAAAACTCGTTTGTTTTTAAGGAATGAAAGACTACTTGCTCTCTGCCCTTCATCCTGCCTCTCTCCTCTGGGAAAGCAGAAAAAAAAAAACCCAGGAACCTTGTTTTATTCTGA